GTGATAAGGTCCTATAAATTTAATGTGGTTTTGAAGCTTTATGAAAATCAATAAAAAATTAATATATTATTTAAAAATCATTAATTAATTGTCAATTAATTTATATCAGATTATTTACCTCCTTTAAAAACTCATCAGAGATATTTTGAGAGTTTTTAACCTTTTTTAATGCTACATTACCATTATAACAATAATATCTTTTATTTTCACTAATATATCTAGGACCATTTGACCAATAACACTTGTACACATTTGCAAAACCACATTCCAACATTCACTGTGCAAAAGAATCAAAAAAAATCTTACTCCTGACATACTTTACTTAGAAGACAAAAATGCTGTTTATACAAGTAGATTATTAAATTTTACAAATCTTCCTCAACCTGTAAACTCCAATAAAGTTTACAATTATTAGTAATAATGATGGTAATTATCTAATTTATTGTTAAATTTTTAATCTTAATTATTTATTATTAATGATATTTTAAATTAAATTATTTTATAAAAAGAGAAATAATCGTTTAATGTTAAGAAAAGTAAAAGTCAAATGAATGAAACACTGTTATTTAGCTACTAAATGTTGAACTCTGAAGTTTTTGACATCAAATGTTCAGTTTCCTTACAGCATGCCCAATTAATTAATTATAGAATTTTCATAATTTTTCCACCAACCTTTCCACAATGTTTTCAAATGTTCTTTAGTTACATCATTATCAAATATACAATCAATGCATTGATATGAAAGTTCATAAAGTTGTTGTTGTGTTAATGAAAAAGTTGAAGCAGCTATTGCATACTCATCAGAAAGATCAGAAAAGAAAACACCTGATATTCAATAACAATAAAAAGAATTAAATATTTTAAAGAAGAAAAATTGAACAACCAACCAATTATCCAATCAAATAATTGAGATTTACCTTTATCATCAGTCTATGGAATATTTAGAGATTAATAATTAATTGCTTGTTAAAATTTACAAATTTCAGAAAGAAAGAAAGCAAAACTTACAGAAAGACAACATGGATATTTAATAAACAGAAAATCTTTAATATGATGTTCTTGATAACTTTTAACAGAATTTAATAATATATTAGATGTCATACACATTTCTATAGGTATTGGATTTTCAGCTAAATATTTTTTAGAATCTGGATCAAGATGTGTTGCATGGCCAATTCTATCAGGTGAAATTGATAACATTGAAGGATGCTCAGGAATTGTTTCATCAACCTTATTATTATTATTATTATTATTATTATTATTATTATTATTATTATTATTATTATTATTATTATTATTATTATTAT